AATCTGAGTCAGATTTTGTACATGGTACTGTTATAGGAAAACCCAGGCTGAGATTAGAGAGACACAAAACTTCTGTAAGGAACTTTAAATTTCCAAGATTCAAAACTCCATTGGAATGTTTTTTCTTCCCTCTGGCTTCAAGGGACTTAGGAGTGTTGGAAGCCAAGCAAAATTCATATTTAGCACTGAATAAAGCCAGTTATTTCAAACAAGCTACGTTTTGGCATTGATCAAACCCCAAGCTCACAGCAGCGATGCCGGGTGTCATGCCACAGCTATTGGAACAATCCCAAAATTAATGGAGCTCTGTGTGAACTGACACATCTACATTTTCCTCAGCTCTGTCTGAGACTTTCATCTACAGCGGCATTTATTTTCTTAAAAGTGCCCTCTTCAGTCTGTGGATTTCAGGAGTGGATTCAGCCCTAATTTTATGCATCTTTATCTCAGCTACTCACCCTTAGCTTTCTTTTACGGTCAGTAGACTAACAGGCACTTCCAAGGTGCAGTTCAGACTGGTTTAGATGTTTACATTAGGCTGAGGTCAATGATAACCAAGAATTGCTCTTAATAAACAAGGAGGCAGAAGTAAAAATGTGTATCAGGTGAATCCTACTCTATTTGATTATCAAGAAAGTCTACATAGTTGAAAGAATTTCAATATGATGTAACATGTTTTGATACATAATCCATCACACCTGAAAATCTCTCCTTCCTTACAAGTCTAAAGGAAATGTTGATGGTTGTTTATCTTAACACTGTCCAAAGCAATTGGCTTTAATTATTCAGATCTGAATTATTAGCAAAGCAAATTTCTGCCTATTGAATCCAAATATAATTGGTACACCAGAAAGCTCCTGCTCTAAGCTCCGTTCCTATAACGACCTTTGCTTCCTAAAATCATAATGAAAATTGTAGTGGCCTTTGAAAGGAAGAATTCAGTGAAAGCAACTCGCAGTGCTTTTTAAGACGAATGCCAAGGGCAACCTCAGAAGGAAACGAGGTTAAGATTCAACTGGCTAGCACAGACTGGGGTTTGGTTTCAATTGACAGATGAGCAGAAAGGGCAGGACTTGTTTATTTAGTCTGTCCCTTGGTTTAAGCAGCAACATGATGAGTTATGCAAAGGTTTATTCTCATATAGATGCAGGTTGGAAGAGTCCATCTGAGATGTTTTGGTCTTGGAGGAAAGGCTGGGAAGGACAGAGAGGTTACAAGTCCTGACTACGTAAATGCCTCTCTGGTTGGCTAATGGAGCAGCAGAAGCACTTGGCCCAGAAGCAGTGGTGAGCTTCACCTTCTCAGCTGGAGGAGCATCCCACAATCACTGCCATCATGGAGCGCAACAGCTTATTAAAGGAATAAAGACAAAACTGCACTTGATTTCCAGAACAGAGGGGCAGGAAGTCCTCCTAACCCTGTCAAGGCTTTACTGATCTTAATGGGTTTGCCACAGAGAAAATCTCTGCTTGAAAAGCGGAGGGGTGCTGCTCCTGAGGGACGAGTTCAAAAACACCAGCTCAGAAACATTAATAAAAACATTTCCCACTGTTTCTTCATCAGATCTTAAAAGAAACAGCGTACTGCAGAGCACACTGGCAAAATCTGTACACTTACAGCATAAAATACACACGTTCTCATTTCTATAAACTAGTAACTGAGAGTTGCTTGGAGAATGGATGAATTTGTTAAGATAACTAGTTTCTGGCATAAGTAGACCCCATAAAGAGGGCTTAATGCTTATTTCTAATCTCCTGGAAGATTGTACAAATGAAAAAAAATGAGGTTAATCACCAAGGAAAATCACCAATGAAGTAATACATCTTTTGTTAAATATTAATTATATTTCATTTTTCCCCATCACTGAATTTACAAGGTTCACATGAATCAAGGATTAATTCAGAGGTTTTTATTTATCCTCTGCTGTGAATGGATCCCTTCTCAGTGGAGAGTGAATGAATTTATTTTGTATCAGCTTTCTGCTTGAAAATAAAATCCTTCGTAAAAGAACTGGCAATTTTTGCCAGAGAAATCCAGACCAAGTGAAACATTTCATTGTTCAGGCTGTTAGATCCTAACGAGTTCTGCATCTAAGCACTCGTGTTTTTTTTCCATCTGATCCAGCAGTAGCATAGCAGTTCATGCACTTAAATGTACGAGACTTGTTTGGGGGGAAGATTTGTATTAAAGGAGGGCAGCATGTTCCGTAGTTTTAGTATAACATCTGTTATTATCATTCAGTGCTGCTCTTAGCCCAGCATGCCCTTCCTCTAAATATCTTATTAATTAAACTGGCTTAGTAGGAAAATAATTAATACTTTAAGTCCTGTACCTACTTAGAAAGGATTTAGAAACTGAAAAAATTGTTTTAGTCTGAGCTTCAAACTGGAGGGTTGTGGGGTTTTTTTCTTTCTTGAGCAGAAGCAGATTACAACTAAAAGGGAGTATCTGAAAAGCCTGTGTATACACAGTCTTCCATAAATACCTATTCTACCTTTGAAATTGTGCTAGACTGCAAAAATAGTCCATGACTCTGAGAAGTCTTGGTCAATACTTGAGTGTCTTCCCCAGCAACGGTTTTGAGAGAGGCGCTCCTGCATTTCTTAAAAATGTCCTGCTAGCCCGGCTTAGCACTTGATCCTCCAGAAGTCTTATCTCCAAGCCCCCAAATTACTGTGTTTCTTAGCGCTACTTTAATAATGTGATGGGACTTCCTAGCTATGAAGTTGGTAGTAATGTTGCTACCTTACATAGCCAGCTGTTGACCAGGCAGGAGGGTGAGATGGTGAACCCAGGTGGGTGCCAGTGAATTTGTGTGTAAAATGTGGATCTGTTACTTAGCTATTTAAGATGAAGTACTGAAAAAGCAGTATTTGTCCATGTCTTTGTTTTGTGAGCAGAGCTGCTGTTTATATGCAGAAACTGCTGCTTTGCTGAGGTTTCACCCAACTTGGTTTCCCACTGAATAACAAGCTCGGACACACTGAGTGCTCTTCACTGTTCACACTAACAGAAAATTATACTTTCTCAGAACTATTGGAAAAGTTGTTGGGTGCCAACGAGTTGCTCTTTAAAGTTAGTCAGGGTTTTAACAATTTCTTTGATGGAAGAAAGCTCAGGAGTTAGCTGTTGCTTGTTTGGGCTTTTTTTGGAGGGGGTGAGGGCAGCATTAAGGAGGAAGGGGGGAAAGGTTTAAATACTGTTCCAGAACAGTATTTAACAGGGCCCCTCCAGCACGGGGAAAAGGCAGGTTGGGGAGCAGTCTGCAACATGACTCCAGAGTCTGATTGTTGGGCATTTCTTTTCAAAATCCTATTAGAAAGTTAGAAATTGAAGCCTCATTGAAAGTCAGTGAGGTGCCTGAAGAGCTTCATCAAATGGGGCTAAAGCACTCTGGAAAATGCTGTGGCTGTTATGTCAACAGCCTCAAAAATAAAACTGTACTATTTTATTTAGGTCACTGGCTAATGGGTACGGGGTCTTGTGCCTTAGCGAAGGGACCTGCCATTAATTCTGATGAATGCTGAAGTTGAGGGCGTGTTTAGGGGAGACCAGGGGTTTTATTAGCTACTGGCTGTACCTACTGACCTTCTCTGTCCTGAAGAATGCATGTTCAAAACTGATTCTAAAAATGGGGTAACCTAAATTTATCCTATGGGAAAAGGTGAAGCAGAGCCAGCCCTGTATGTACCAAACTGTACATATCTGACAGCAAATAAGTTGCAGTGACTGCAGTGTGTCAGTATAAGCATAGCTAATTCACCAAGTATACTGTGCCCCTGGGGAGCAGCCAACGTGCAGCAGTGCCAGAGAAGGTTACATCCTCCTGTTTTCAGGGAGGGAGAGAGGGTTTCAGAGCCTTCATATCTGACAGCAAATAAGTTGCAGTGACTGCAGTGTGTCAGTATAAGCATAGCTAATTCACCAAGTATACCGTGCCCCTGGGGAGCAGCCAAAGTGCAGCAGTGCCAGAGAAGGTTACATCCTCCTGTTTTCAGGGAGGGAGAGAGGGTTTCAGAGCCTCTTTTTTTTTTTTGCTTTAAATCTGCCTTGGGCAGACAGAAGATGCTGAGTCCCAGTTCGTTTGTGTGTGCGTGCGTCTGTGCTGGGCCTGATAGGGGAGCATATGGCAGCAGCCATTCGCCCTTGACTGTGCCTCGTTTTTTGGCAGGCAGAGGCTTGTTCCTCGCAGAGCGCCCCGCAGTCGCAGCCGCTCCTGCACATCACTTCTTGCGCCCTCTTGGTTGCTGCCTTTCAGCTCTTTGCCTGAATGCGTGTCCTTTGTGGTGTTTTGGTTAATTGGACGTTGTTTTAATTACTGCTGAACTAAACAAACACGGAATTTCTATCTGTCCTTTTGCTGCCCCAGTGACCGCAGTCTCCAAGCAGGCAATACAGGAGATGTTCAGATCCAGTGTAAATTGCAGTGGCTCTCGTGGAGTTCCCCTCATTTACACCTTTTTAGGGGACAACAGCCCTCCAGGGAGGGGAAGGCTCCGTTAAGCAGCTCCTATTTTGCACTATTCCCAACGCCTTGCTCTGCTCTCACTGGTGTTAGTGGGAAACAAGCCTTGGCTTCAGGGCAGCAGAGGTGCCAGTCCTCTGCCATGGCATGGGGACAGTTCTTTCATTGGTGTGATCCTTCACATTGCCACCTTTCTTAGCTTCCCCCTCCAGTTTCTGCACTAATTGCCCTTTTCTCCCTTCCCTGTCTCTAATTCTCAACAGCAATGCTTTGGTCATGTGTCAATATTAAGCAATGGGAGTGCAGGCATGCCCTCAGATCAGTCAGTCTATAACCATTTCTGTCAATAACGGCCATGCTACAGCAGCAGGCAGATTGTCTGGACTGCCAGTAGCCTTTATTTTGAGATGCTAATTTGCCAATGACTTGCAGAGGAGAAAAAGCATTATTTAAATGCCTTATAAGGCACAGAGCCTTATAAAACAGTCACTTCCCTTCTTTGCTATTTACATTGACCCTTCTCCTTTGCTTACAGCTTTGGAAAGAAAAATATCGATGAGGCAAAGCAGAGAGGAGCTTATAAAACGAGGAGTGCTGAAAGAAATTTTTGATAAAGGTAAGTGTTCTTTTCACAATATTAAGTTGACATCCCATATAGTTTTATGGCTAGATATTACATTATTGTAACATTAAGAACTGGGAATACATTCCTGAATTGCAGGACTGTGCAGAATAAGGTCTCCAGACATCTCTTTTGATTTCACTGTGGGCTGGCCCTCGCTGTTGGATACGTGTGATAGTTATCTAGCAAATAAAACTGAAAGCTAATCAGAAATACAAAGCCGTAGAAATATAAATCACAGCATCATGCAGGAGTCGCTCGCTGCAAACCAGCGAGGCATCCAGACTGCGAGGAGATGGGGTGGGTCCGTGCCTGCCTGTGTTGTCGTTGGCTGGTTGAGTCACTCTGGGATTTTCTGTTATGGAAAAGGGAAACATTTAAAGGTTTTGGATACTGGCAAGCACAGAACAGTGCTCATTCCCTTGGAACAGCTCAGAAGACATAATAATAATACCTTGTTCAGGATAATTAATTTGTTGAGTTGCTAATGTATTATTTATGCAAAACGCCATTGTTTTACAAACACCATTGTTTTACAAACACCATTGTTTTACACTGGTAATGCAATACATATTTGACATTATTACATATGTGTCAGACTTTAACCAGAGCTCTGGTAATGCAATACATATTTGACATCTATTACGTATGTGTCAGTCTTTAACCAGAGCTTTTATTTGTTTTGCTGCTTCCCTTGTCAATAAGTAAGGCAATGAATTCAGCAAAATATATGAAGACATTCCAAAGTTGCCTCTTAATTTCAATAGAATTTATGCATGTGCTTTAAAGCCCCATTAATTCAAAATCTAAGTGTCTTTATACTGGTATAAAACCTGTTAGAAGTCAATGTACGTTACAAACTTCCACAGTTACTGAAAGAGGGTAGATTTAGATTAGATATCAGGAAGAAATTGTTTACTGTGAGGGAGCTGAGGCACCGGAACAGATGGACCAGAGAACCTGTGGATCCCCCATCCCTGGAGGTGTTCAAGGCCAGGCTGGATGGGGCCTTGAGCAACCTGCTCTAGTGGGAGGTGTCCCTGCCCAGGGGAACTAGATGATCTCTAAGGTCCCTTCCAACCCAACCCATTCTATGATATTTGAGGTAGGGTCTACCTCATGAAGTCTGGAGCGTTTAAATCTGCTACCTGCCTTTTCAGTCTGGCTTATTGGGAATTTAAAAATTTACTAACCTGAACAGTTTATTTTTGTAAGTGAAAAAAATACAAAACATTGCAAAACCAGAGAAATATGCTGCTTGTCATTAAGTTCTACAGTTGTTACCCATTGTGCATTTTAGTTGCTGCTAGTCCTTTAGATCTAACATTGGCTGAGCCCTCACTATGGCCTGTTGCCTTGGAAGTCATCCTAGATGCAACTTCAGGGTAGAACCAACACCTGATGAAAGGTTTGCTCTTCTCACTGCCTTGGGTTGTCCACATTTTGGAGTGTGACTCAGATCAGATACATGGCCATGAGGCAGGCATCCTGCGGCCAGCGAGGCACAGTCCAGGCTGTCACACCAAGTGTGTCATAGCCCAGGAGAGGCCAGGGCATAGCTCTCTGTTCTGTGCCCTGGCCAGCTCAGAAGTCAGCCTTCAGTCACACCTCCATGCAGGCTGTGCCCTCCTTCACCCCTCACATTCACAGGCATGCCTCACATTCCACACATAGCTCCTTTCTGACCCACCCCTGCACACACCTGAAGGCATGCCCCGGAAAAAACCTTTTCTGTGCAGCCAGACCCTGCCCTCCATCCACATTGACACCTGGGGAGATTCCTCCTGCTTCGCTAGCAAAGCACTACACCTTTCTCCATTCGTCAAATAATCCTCTAGTATGTAATCTTCTATGTCATCTTGTGAAGCAGATGCTAAGCTGTCTGAATGTCCTCGTCTGAAAAAAGAAATGAATTCCTCTTTATAGTCATTTTTCACCTTCTCATGCTAGAAAAAGCTGGTATGAAATACCTGCTGCTGCTTCCTATTTTCAGTGCAAAAAGCAGAGACATCAGACTTTTTCACTGTCAGTTGCCACTGAAAGGGAAACTATACTGCAAAACAGCTGGTCTACTATTCAGTATCCTACATTATTTCCTGCTGGTTGCAAACACAGGAAGCTAAGAATTTGTACCCCTCCTTGAAAGAATGAGAAGAAAGTAGTGATACACAAGTATTGTGGCAGTGATAAGTAGCTTTGATGATATAAGGATATGAGTAAGGCAAGATTTGTAGAGCAAAAGCAGTATTTCCTTCAGTGGTATAATAATCCGAGAGTACTTCTAGTACAGGATATTGTATCTCACTGCAAATCTTAAGTGGAAGTAACATTTTCCTTGTAATTCCCATTAGGGAATCTCTAATCCTTCAAGGAAACACAGCAGACTTTAGCAATTCATAGCAGAAGGCTTCATTTGATGATGGTAGCACCTTCCATGCCAAGAGGCATCTTGCACAGTCAATAGGTGTAGCCGTAATGTTAAATCTTTTTGTCTCCCTTTCCTAAGAGGACAACAAAGCAGACAGAATCAGCCTGTGAATGAGTAATTTTGCCACCTTCTTTCTTAAAAAAAAATCTGTACAGATCAAAGGAAACTTAATATGGATTAAACTGACCCAAGAACAAAAATTCTGGAGCTTGCCCTGTGCTTAGTATCGGGCTTATTGTATCTTTTATTTTGAAGAAAAGCGGAATTAGGGAGTTTGTTCACCTGCTGTATAAAAATGACACTCTGACCTGTTTGCTTCAGGATTTGTTGGCTTTTCAGAGGACGTTGTGTCATCCAGCAGGTGAAAGTTAGCAGAGCGCAGTAAGGCACGGTGTTCACACATGGGAGAGTTGCTGCAGTCCAGCTGCTATATTTGGGAAACAAGAAATGCTTTTATCACTTCAGTGACCCCCACAGTTAAACTAGTCAAGCAAAACCCCTCCAGACTGAACTGCAGAGAGCTCTTTTCTTGGCAAGGGCCAGACTCATAACCAAATCAGGTTTTGTCATCTCCCATTTCCAGGGTTCTGTGACTTGAGTCTTCTGACAGTGTAGGCAAAGGTGTTGCAATTTTTTCAAATACTGTGTGCTTTTGGAAAAATAGTAAGTTGAAGAAGTATCTGATGAGGCACCCGCTGTTCTAATAGTTTGTGGGCGGCCAGTGCCAAGAGGTTAAAAATACAGCTTCCACCTGCAACTCAGAACATACCACAGCATGGAGAAGAACTCACACTTTTGCTAAACCATTGCTCCCACACACAGATAAACAGCTTTGATTTTTCATATTAAGGTGTAACCATCCCAAAAGCATCTGTCTTTAGAATTTCCCACTGTTGCATGGTGCCAGTCAAAGAATTAAATCTACTTGTAGTATTTCGATGCCTCTTCTTTTATCTGAACATAGATGAGATTACCTGTAGTGTTGTGGTTTGACCCCAGCTGGCAACCAAGCACCACACAGCCGCTCACTCCCTCCCCTCCATGGTGGGATGAGGGAGAGAATCAGAAGGGTAAAAATGAGGAAACTTGCTGGTTAGATGAAGACAAAGTAAAGCAAAAGCTGTGGATGCAAGCAAAGCAAAACAAGGAATTCATTCCCTGCTTCCCATCGGCAGGCAGGTGTTATGCCATCTCCAGGAAAGCGGGGCTCCATCACGCGTAATGGTTATTTAGGAAGATAAATGCCATAACTCCAAACATTCCCCCCTTCCTTCTTCTTCCCCCAGCTTTGTATACTGAGCGGGATGTCATATGGTATGGAATATCCCTTGGGTCAGCTGTCCTGGCTGTGTGTCCCCCTCTCCCAACCTTTTGTGCACTCCCAGCCTACTCACTGATGGGACGGTGTGAGGAGCTGAAAAAGCCTTGACTGCTCAGCAACAACCAAAAATATGAGTGTTTTATCCACACTGTTCTCATCCCGAATTCCAAATACAGCACTGTACCAGCTTCCAGTAAGACGGTCAACTCTATCCCAGCCAAAACCATGACTCTAGTGAGAAATTTCTGAATATGAGTGTGAACTGATTGCTTGTTACAGAGATGATGGTGCAATGGTTCTGCAAGGAAGCATGGGCAGTCATCATCTTTTATACTTTTATGGTTTTGTACTCTCTATCTAATCAAAATTATGGATTTAGACCCAAATTTCAGGTTACCTAAATCCTGACAGGACGTGGAAAGGGGGCACTTATGTGTTAATGCAGGTTTTGTGGCAGTATGTGTGCGTAAGTTTGAAGAAGCGGCTTTGGTGATTGCTGAAAGGATTTAGCTCCTCCAGAAATAGGGAGGACATCCAAGCATCAGCCTATCTCAAGCTCCACAGGTTCCCCCAAAATCGGGGGTCTGCTTAGAGACTGAGGATCCTAGCCCCTGTGCTAAGGTAGCCACCAAGGCTAGGAAACAGTCCTGGGGACAGGTCTTGACCACGTGCAAGAACACTCAGTTTTCCATCCCCTAGCCCATGGCGGCCATTGCAGAGAAGGACATGAATTTTTTTCTGCTTTCCTAGCTTTTGCCATCAAGAATCCTTCTCTGGACAGTATTATTTGAGAGCAGGCAAGTACCGAAGGAGACAACCCAAAGTGGAAGATAACTCAGGATTTCAAACTCTCATCATTTTGACTTCCTTAGCCATTTGCCTGTGGAAGGAGCTCATGAGCGTGGTGCTTTTCAGACATGGAAGAAATTCCCTAGTCCAAAATGTTCAGAATGAAAAGACACAGTGAGAGGGTAGGCAGAGCTCCAATGTAAAGAAACAACAAAGGAGCACTCTGTACCAGGCAGCATGATGTACTGTGGGCTGCTTCACACCAGGCAATTTTTGAAAATGTACCTGCAAGTGGAAATGGCAGGTGAGTTCAGGAGTACAAACCATGCCTAGGGGACACATATTTTGAACATACCATCTGTGCATTTCTGGGCCTTTACCCCATGCTGTTATTTTCACATGCTAAGGTAAATCAAAGTGTCTGGGTAGAGTCCTCTGCATCAGAGACTTTCCTCTGAGGTCCCATTTCTTCAGTGACTTGGGGTGTCTGGAGCCTCCTGCATAACAGAAGAGCAGCCTTCGTGTGCTCCTGTTGCTGCAGAGGTCAAGGTGCCTTCTCTGGTCCCATCCAGACCAAGTTGATTCAAACTCAGCTGGCATTATCAAGCTCATGCATTTAGGGAAGTTCATTCTCCCCTGAGCAGCAACAGGCTCTGTGAAAACACAGCAAAGGACTTAGCAAATGTGAGAACAAAAGATTAGATATGTTATCACTCTGCAAAATTAACTTTAAACTCATAGGCAGTTCCTGAAGACTAATCACTTCATCTGTGTATATGTAATAATTGCATTGCCAGGATTCTTTTCATTTGTCTAACCAACATAGATTTTAGTACTTTAAAAATAGTTAGTAATTTGCCTCTTCTATCTGGTTGTCAAGCATGTCTCTGATCCTGGATTAATCCACACTAAGATATTCTTCATTCTACGAATTATTTCATCTGCATCTTTGATCTGTTTGCTGTACTTGAGCAGCTCCCCATGTAGTTCTCCTCTAAGTGAGATCAGATTTAGGGTGTGTATTTCAGTCATGATTCTGTGTCATGTCTGATGATTTCAGTCAAATCCAAGGACAAGTTTTAGAGTCTAAATGAATATTGTACATATTCAGAATTAAAAGAGTTTATGCTGTCAGTACAGAGGGCTCTCGTGCTTGTTATTATGACAAAAAGTAAAAGCCAAAATTTTCTCACATTTTACTTTTTCGCAATTGCAAACCTTCAGCAGGTCGTTTGAATGCTATCTTCTTCAATCAGACTGAATATACCTTGAGAAGTGCAAAGTGCACTTAGGACAGTAAGATTTCAAGGTGCTCAGCATGTTACGATAGGCATCCCGCTTCATTAAAAATGTGTAGACATGCCTCCCAAAAATAATTGTTACTGGTTTTATCATGCATATTTTTTGTCTGCTCACAGTTACAAACTAATTTAGTCCTGCACTGAATTAATGAATGTTGCTGAACACAATCACTGCCTTTCATTCAAGAAACAGTTGTTCTGCATAAGAAACAGTTACGCTCTTTCATGAAACCAGGTGTCTGAGACAACAGCAGCCCCTATCCCAAACGCGTGTAAAAGTCTGTGTTTATAAAAGGGAGGCAGAGCAACCACAGAATACATAGCATTTCCACCCAAACAGCTAAGTCAAAAAACATTCATACTGGCTGAGCTGTTGTTTGATTTTTGCTGCCTAGGGAAATAAATGGGTTTGTATTGAATGACCGTAGCAGTTAAAAGGAGATTGTGCTGCAAACAGTTGGCCAAAACCTTTGGTTTTGATTAATGTTGCCACCTTTTAGCCAGCTCAGTTGATTGCTCTGAAAGATGTGGGTCAGGTTTCAGTCTAGTATGATGTGGCTGTGTACCATAATAGCTTTCCAGGTCTTCAAAAAGCCTCCAACAAAAACAAGAAAGTCAAGACCTTGGTATTTCTAATAATCCCAAAATAAGCAGAAGACCATCTTCACACACTGTGGAGAAGCTTTAAAAGGCAGAAACATAATTCTGAGTACTTACCAGCTAATGTACTCTCAGACTTGTTAATTGCTGTTTCCTGATGCTTAAGTGAAACTTAATTTTTTTTTTCTTGTTTCAGTATTGTTTTCCGGGGTATTTTGCACATATAAGACCTGTGAGGGGAAAACGTCCATTCACTTGAATAATGTAATCTCCGCTCAGTACATTGAGCAGTAATATAGCTAATCAAAAGTACCCAAAAATCAAGAACCAGATCTTGAAATCCTGAGTTTGACTTAAAAGAATAATTTAAATGCATAGTAAAATTAAGCTCCATTTATTTGCCTGCTGGGTTTTAGCCTTACAGGTCACATTCTGGTTATATTTTCAAGCTTCCACTCATAACCATAGAGGCTGAACACTTTCCTTTATAAAATTGTAATTGAGATATCCATGTAGTCATTGCCTCCAGGTACCAGAGTGCTGTGCATAACAAGTTCTGAGATAAAAATCATGCGGGTTGACACCATAGAGAATGATCTGATCCCTCACTTCTGTTCTTTATTATTTCTAATGTGAAGTGGCATTTGATAGGAAAGAAACTACCAGCTGCTGTTAAAGAAATTTTGCTCAGAGGAGATATTATTAATAACTTTAAGAACAGGCTTTCTAAACGGAATCTGCTATCTACCAGTATCAAGACCTTGCACCAAAAAAAAAAAAACTATTCTCTCCCTTACTTAAAATTTGGATGCTGGGAGCTGAAATGTTTTTATTTGTGTGCAAAACAGGGCCATACTTCTGTGATTTTGCATGTGTCCCTTATAGCATAAAAATTGGTTTAAGGGAAAAGAATAATTGTTGTTATTATTAAAATATCATAAATTATATACTGCGTATGTTAGTATTCTTTAAGAAAGCTCCATAGCTTCAGTTCCAGTCCATTCTCCTTCCTGACTTCCCAGCTTCAACAGAAACAGAGAGAAAGCAGATTTTGTGGCCCCATGAGAGGATGGTCAGGAACCATCCAGCATAGACCATGGATCGTAATGACCATCCTAGGGTAAGCAAAAGATCAACACAGATATTGGACAGATCTTTCTCCAATCTTAATAACCCCTTAAGGCAAGTAGAATGCTATGAGACTTCTGTGAAACTGTTGTGGACAGAATATCACAATCAGACATCTCCAAAAACTGCTCTGCACAAGTACTATTTTTGAGATACAAACCATATTGATTTGATCCTTATTGGTCTGATGTCGGTTCAGGTTCCTCATTTGCAAGCAAGCTAATGGAGATAGCAGATTTCATTTTAAATTATTTCTGCATCATATTTATGTGTCTTGTTTTGTCATTCTGCTTTCCTCCAACTATGAACAGATGGGGAACTTTCCATACCAAATGAAGAAGGAGCTTTGGAGAACGGGCAGCCTCTGGGCTCTGGGCAAGTGCTGAGCTCCAGCCAGGTATCCCTGCCAGCGCTAGCAGAACTGGAGTCAGGTCCAGCACCTGGGGAACCCTGCTCATACGAGGTGCTCCCAACCACAGAGATCATGGACGGGACAGGTAACATCTTGTTTATATTATGACGTAGGTACTCTAAGCAGTTTGAAACAACTTTTTGATTTCTAACATTTGGTGTCCAGCCCCGAGAAATCCTTGTCAAAGACAAAAACCTTCCAGTGAAGAAGGAGGTGACAGCACAGATATTGTCACTGGATGCTCCATGAGAAATTTTGACTGACTTGGCATAGAAGACAACTTCTACACCAGTAACCTCTTCCTGAATAAGGCGAAGTCCCTGCACTTTGTGGACGTTTAAGAGTAGATTTCTAACTGTCTTGCTACGTCTCAGCTGTGCCAATGAGTTCTAGAGCAGAGAGCTCCTAACATTTTTAAACCCTAGGGTACAATGTCATGCTGTTTAGCTGCCGCATGGTGTTGGATGATGTTCCTACCACGCATGTTTCAGTAGCTAACACAGCCCTAGTAGCTAACACTAGCCTCACCCTAGGTGAGGCTCTCTGCACTGCTTCCCCAGCCCATGCAAGGAGACAGCAGCACTGTGCATCTCCTCTTTCTGCATCACTTAATGCTGAGAGTTGTGGACGAAGGTCGAGTGAGGAGAAGCAACTGGTAGAAGTGTTCATCTGTGATCCTGCACAACTGTGCGGCCTCTTTGAAATGGAGTAGGCCTCCTGAGGTGCTTTTGCATATATAGGATGAGTTTAGAGACCACCTGCTAGCATATGTGGTCCTGAGCAAGCTGTGGTGACAGACCGTGTGAGACGTGACATTTTCAGGCTCTTGATTTGTGTTCAAGACGTGGGAACATGTCCCAGCCTGGCATTAAGGGAGCTGGCTTCTGACAGAGGTAATGGGAAATTCGGCTGTCGTGTAGATGTGTGTTACTCCTGCTCTTTCTCTTTTTCTCTCTTTCTTTCTCTCCTCCTTTCCATGTTATATGATGTTTGAGTGAGATCTATTAGTCGTTCTTAACCTGCACTGCTGGGCTGCTGTTCTTGTCTTACTGCGCCTGTATCCGCTGCTGCTTTGCTCGTAACGTTGTTGCGTCTATGATGTGGTTGTGTCCTCCAGTGTCTGAAGAGAGCCCCACATCCAATGAATCCGGCGTCCTCCTCTCCCAAGATCCTACAGCTAAGCCAGTCCTGCTACTTCCCCCCAAAAAATCTGCCGCATTCCCTGGAGACCATGAGGACACCCCAGTGAAACAGTTGTCCCTCCTCAAACAGCCCCCTGCCCTGCCTCCTAAACCTATTGCCAGGATTGCCAGCCATTTAACTGGTAAGTAGGTGTTCCTGGACCCTCAGCACCACCGTTTCCCTTACAGGAAAAACCCACCCTTACAGCAAGGTTCCCAGTGTCCTTCCTCCTTCTGTAACGGTGTTTGCCCGTGTTGTTGTGTGCAGTGGTAATGTATCTGTGTTGTAACCTAGGGCAGGGATCACGGGGCATTTTCAGGCTATAACTTCATTAGGGTTGCTTCAGGGCACTTCCCCTCTCAGCTGTGATTACCTAAGACCACTGCTGCGTTTCCCGACCCTCCTCACTCCTATTCATCAAGACTGACCATCACCACAAAAATGTCAGGATGTGCTTTGATAGGAAAGGAAATATCAGAAAAATACTAGGATATCTTTAAAAGCCTTTAATGAGAAAGGAGGTGAGGGTTGAGGGGAAAGGGAGATTTTTGGTTTCTCCATTTGCCCTTTGTTGCTTCTCCCCTCAACTGCCATCTGGGCAGGTTCTCCCTGCACACACCCTGTATTTTTCCATGTGTTTGTCTTTTACTTGGCCCCCTGATCCTTAGACAGGCCATTCTGTCCCATGGCTTCTTGCCATTTTGCTTCCCTACTCCCACTCCCTGCCTCACAGCTCCCCCTTTCCACCCCTGCTCTGACTGCTCCCCTCCCACTGGTGAGTTCTGCTGGTGATGGGCAGCTCCAGTTCCCAGTGACCAGGATTTGGGTGTCCTGCAGCTTATGCTGCAGTTTATCTCTCACTGCATGGCAGCTAGCAACAGTGGACAATACAGGCTCCTTTTTTTTGTGTTCCAGATGTTTTCACAAGTGTCCAGGCTCTTTGGGATTCAAAGCTCTAGGTACATGTGGAAAGAGGATTGGTGGGTCTGCTCTCTCCAGTCTCTCATTTAGACCACCAAAGCAAAAGATGGCTATGCTTAACACAGACCAAAAAAGGTTCCCTAAATGCTTTCCTGCACCTTTTGAGCAGTCTGCTTGTAATTTCAGCTGCTGCCCAAGAGGCAGAACCTCAAAATCCTGAGTTCAGGACAAGGTGGGGTGCATCTCTTTACTGGGGCAGCTACCTGTCTTCTCACTGGGTCAATCTTCTTGTGTTAACACTGCCCTGATCTTTTCAGGGCTGATGTGAGAAATGCTCAGACCCCATTAGTACATTCTAGAGGTTTGTTTTTTTTTCCTGACGGTTAATACTCGTTTTATTTGGGTTAAGATCTATATCAGGAAAGAGCTCATTAGGAAAGGGCATGTTCTGGTTTTCCCTCATATCTCTACGTAGTCTTTTCATGTTTCTGTTCGGATGACCACACATTTTTGTTCTGTATAGTTTTGTTCATTTTATGTGAAATCTCTTTACTTTCTCTCTTGCCAAAGTCTACACATAATGCTTAATATTTTGCCTTATACTACAAACTGAATGGGCAGTTCTGCAGCCTGCAAAGCAGTATTAATGGCTTCAGGTGAGGACAAAACCAGCTTCCTATGATCTCCCATAACACTCTGTCCCAATTACAAGAAGCTGCTCAGAAATGAGGCCAACATGGAAGAAATAAAAAAATATCAGAATAGCATAGGAAAAAACTCAGGTTCTAAAGGTCCTTCATTCATAAGCCTTTCTTATAAGAGACAACAAAAGAATCAAAGGATGAGGATTTCTGATGGGGTTTATTTTGCAGCTGGAGATTTTGTGCAAAGTAGAATCAGACTCAAGCTATCAGCAAAAGTCAATTGCTTGATGGTGACAACTTTCCAATGAAAGTGAAACAGAACTGTGACTTCTCTTACTTTGCGGTGGCCTTTAGCGGTCTCATCCAGTCGTAAATAAACTCTTGTATGTGCACATAGACAAATTTTTGTACGTGTATATACAGAACCCTCAGGGGAAAGGAACAGAGATTCACATTTAGTCACAGGGCCCAAATTTAACTGACAGTTATTCCTGGTAGAACTGAAAGCCTCATTTATACATACCTTATAAATAACAATATAAACTTATTCTTAAGGGTCTATTTACTTTGGTCTAAAGGATATATGTGTTGTTCAGTGCCTTGTGTTCTCCACTGGTAATTATTTTAGCCGTGTATAATCTTTGGAAAGGAGCAATCAATCCTAATGAAGCATCCTCATCAGTGAGAAGTAGAATTAATGCTATTCTTTTACTAATTACTCCAGAGACATCTTCAGCTTGTGTGTGAAAAAACAAGTAAAATCTGAATTCTGGCATTTGAGGTGAAGACTCTTCTGTTCTTGTTGCATACCCATTTTTCTACTGAAGATTTTGTGAGAAGGTTGAAGGACAAATTAAAACATACTGGGCTTGGCTAATGGAGAGTGACAATGGTTTAATGGTCTGGTAGCTCTGTTCAAGATGACTGCAAGGGGAGATGTGATCTTGTGAAGGGTTCAGGTACACATCTGAAAATGCAGAAGCGCCTCAACTTCTGTCTTAAGATATATATATGCATATGTTTATTTAATAGAAACATGTTTTATACAAACATGCATTACAAAAACGCTACAGGTGTGGTCAGCAGAAAAAAAAAAAAAAAGGAGAAATATTTTAAATACAAAACTTGAGGAAAGAAAAGCTTCCTTTGAGTCTGACCACCATCTTGTTCTTGCTGTGAACTTATCCTGATGTTCTTCCATAAAGGCACGAAGACTGACTTACAGGGTTTGGCAAAGGACATAATACAGGTTTTAGAAATGGAAAGGAAACATTCCTCGTCTCTGAAAGCATTTGTGAACCATCTCAAACATCTATCTGCCTGTGCCAAGACAAAGATTGTCCGTCCCTTTGATAGGAAATGCACATAAAAGAACAGGCCTAAAATAAACATGTAAGAGCGCATATAATTTTGGGAAGAATGAAAAGAAAAAATCTGTTTTAAAGGTGACAAGAAGAGAAAACTACCACTAGCAAATATAAATAACATAACCTTGGCATGCTTCTCAAGGCTGAGGTACTGTGGGGATGGGGCAGTGCAGGGAAGGGTACAGAGCCAAGAGAGGACTGCAGGTTATCCAGGAGGAGTGGTGCCACTGCTTCTGCAGAAGATGCTCGGTGCTTTGCCTCACACCATCTCCCATGCTCTTGATGATGATGCCTCCACAGGAAACATCCCTACCACAGCACTGGGTCTGGAAGTGCCCATGCAGCCCTAGAAGACAAGCAACCCTAGGAGAAAAACATGATCCTTAAGTGTTTTGATACTGTTGTTCCACAGCTCTGCGTTTGCTGTTGGCCAGTCACCTCCTGGTAGGCCTTCTACTGGTTTTCAGATATGTTTATTATTAGACAACGTTCATAGAAAGAATTTCTTTCATCTCCAATATCTATATGCAGAATCCAGGCATTTAGAAGAACACTTGCAGCCACCTTCATTGAAAATGTAGGAGGAGCTGAAATAGTCACCTGGGACCAAATGTAATTGGAATGCTGGGGTAAAGTCCCCAGATTATCATAAAATGTTGAATGGCCAAAAGTGACAAGAAGACTGGTCATATCTGATTTGATATGACAACATAGTGGTGTAAACCTCCTTTTGATCTTGATTCATTACGCTGTTCTTACCAGCACAGATAATGTTTTCTGAAATTAATTAGATATTTTCCATTCAAACAACTGAATCACCAGTAACCAATGAAGTACCCTAAAACATCAGAGAATAAAATATATGCCAGTAAGCTGGGACCTCAGCAACACCTAATTGTATTTGAGCTCAAATTTAGCCTAATATTATGGTAGGGTGTAGCCTTGATCGTATCTGACCACTCAACTATTGTATGTAAGCTTTGCAAAACCTTTTGCATTCTCTTGCTTTCTTCATTCAAGATTTTGAGGAGAGAAATAGCACATTTTTAGTCCTGAGATTGTGCTTTCTAGTTATGTCTCTGTAGAGTAAGAACTAACTCATAATTAGAGGCAAACATTTAATAGGGTAGAAAGCGTTGAGAGACCCCAAAAGTTATTTTTGATAATGCAGACAAGCCCAGGATGAGGTTTGAGAACATGGATGCCTGGTGTCCTGCTGCATTGCCACAACACAGCTGGTTGTTAGTTACAGCATTATAAAAGTATTTACAACTACAATTTATCCAGTAAATATTCTCTGCAGTATTTTACAGCACAACAGTCACATGTGTTTCAGAAGGCTCCTCTGTAGATGAGCCCAAGACATTATTCACAAGCGTCCTCCTCTGTGACGTTACCTCCTGCTGCCTGCTCTGGCAGGCTACATTCATGAAGACAGTTTGCATTCATCTGGGGGCAATGGACAATCCTCTTTTCACTGTGCGCCTGAGGGGGAAGCAGCAGAGCAAAAGCACCTGTCCTTCACCAGCAGTCCTAAGTTCTATGCACAGGAATTCATGCAGAGCTGTTCTTTTCAACCTTTAGGCTAAGCGTTCTTGGTTTGTATTCTCCAAATTCAACTTGAACCTTGGATCCGAACATGGAGCAGAAGAACAGCAAAGAATATCAGTCTTAAACCTTCCCTGAAGATATGGCTGCAGATCTTACCATAGTCAGCAGGAGATGCATGGCAGATCTTTCAGAACAGTTTTTAACTTGTCTTCATGAATATACTCAAAAATCTCATTGAAAGAAAGAGAGAGGCTCCCACTGTTCAGACACAAGTGATTCCCCGAGAGAAGACCTCAAAATGTAAAAGCTTCTTGTCCAAATGCTACAAGCAAATAATCAGGCACATCACCTCATTTCCACTGCGGAGCTCCTGTCAATAGGCAACGCTGAGTTTTGCACATGTTTTTGCACATTACTTTGCAGAATTAATTACTTGGATGGAATTTAAAGAGTAAGTCATTAACTTTATGATGAGTTGTATTACTTGTATATAGTACAGCAAAGGTCATAGTATAAGGTTCTTCAGGTGGGAAGGAACCTCAGCAAGCCTTTAGTTCAACCTCCCACTCAAAGCAGGGCCAGCTATGGGATCAGACTAGGTTACTCAGGGCTTTGTCCAGCTGAGTCTCAAAAACCTCAAAGGATGCCAACTGCACAAC